CTACCAAGGGCAGCAAAGTGAGACTCTGTCTCAAAAAAAAAAAAAAAAAGAAGAAGAAGAAGAAGACGGTGACTTCACATCTTTTGTAATATCCTGGATGGAGTTGAAACTCATTTTTCTTAGTAAAGTATCACAAGAATGGAAAAGCAGGGCGGCACCAGTGGCTCAGTGGGTAGGGCACTGGCCTCATATACCAAAGGTGGTGGGTTCGAACCTGGCCCCAGCCAAAATGCAACAAAAAAATAGCTGGGCATTGTGGCGGGTGACTGTAGTTCCAGCTACTGGGGAGGCTGAGGCAAGAGAATGGCCTAAGCCCAAGAGTTGGAGGTTGCTGTGAGCTACGACACCATGGCAATTCTACCAAGGGTGACAAAGTGAGACTGTCTTAAAAATAAATAAATAAATAAGAATGGAAAAGCAAATTATCAAATGTACTCAATACTAATATGAAGCCAGTAGATGATCCAATGCATGCCCAAATAGGATAAAAACTCATTTCAATTCAAGTTGGGGGAGGGGTAAGGAGGGAGGAGGAGGGAGTTGGGGTGTCCTCACTGAATAGGTACGGGTTGGGGGGGGTTGCCACATCTTTTGTGGATGGGACATAATCACAAGACAGATTCTACCTAACTAAATCAAATATTTTGACCTGGTTGCTTGTACAATAAATTTACTTTAAAAAATAAATAAAAAGTAAAATTGTATTTCTTTTTGCTTTTTAACATTGTCCAGTAACGGCATGTGTTGACCAGATACACAGGGAGGCTGAGGCGGGTGGATCACCTGAGCTCAGGAGTTTGAAAACAGCCTGAGCAAGAGCAGGCTAGAAAAGTAGCTGAGTACTGTGGCAGGCGCCTGTGACTCCCAGCTACTCCAGCCGCTGAGGCAAGAGGTTTGCTGAAGCCCAAGAGTTTGGGGTTACTGTGAGCTATGACTCCACAGTACTCTATCCAAGGAAGCAGAGTAAGACTCTGTCTCAAATAAATAAATAAAATAAAATACATTTCTATTGAACAGGGCTGGGAGAGACCATGGAGTGCATGACAGAAGGTGGGGGGAGAGGGGAAGGGGTGGAAGGATGATGGCAACCAGGCGGGGAGTAGTCCTTTAGCCTGTGATTGTGAAAGACTGAGTTGATTTCCCCTGGCAATCAATACAGAAAAAAAGTCGAGGGAATAGAATGTGCAGACCCAAAGATGTGGGAAGGCATGTTGCATGTAGGAAATTCATTCTCTCTCTCTATATATATATATGTATACTCACACACACACACACACACACACATATATATATAATTTTAAACGCACTATTGAATGTTTACTTTGAGGTATTCACTGACAGCAGGACTTTTTTTTTTTTTCTGAGACAGAGCCTCAAGCTGTCCCCCTGGGTAGAGTGCCGTGGCATTACAGCTCACAGCAACCTCCAACTCCTGGGCTCAAGCGAGTCTCCTGCCT